ATTTCTAAACCTTTGAATTGCCAACTCGACAAAAAGAGCCAAATCATCCTAGGAACATCCAAATATGAATCCGGGCATACGCCTGAGTCCAAAATCACCATATGAATCTGTTAGAACCATTAAAATATGAATTTGAGCTCCTTTACTCACAAGGAAAATATTGGTCAACTCTTCCGATTTAAAGCTTCTAAAATGAGAATTACTCACCCGAATCAATCTCAAACTTCCCGAATATCAAATCTAACCATACACACAAGTTGTAACACATCAAATGAAACTACTCAATACCTTAAACCACTAAACGGAATGCTAACATTAAAAATAACTAATCGGGTCATTACAATCCAAATCGAGGAACTATAACAACACATGCCCAAATTACCCGATCGTCAATGGTAGACTCCCCCACTTGGCTTGGAGCCACAAACACCTCGTCTGATAACCCACAATACCCTTCCTTCTTAACTTTCCATGACCTCACACTGCTATCCAGTTGAATCTCCTCATAAGCTCGCATAGCACTAGTTAAAACACATTCGGATCATCTGCCGAATACATACTCATCCTCACAACAATCATGCCGACTTCCTCTAGTGCTCTGAAATGGTAGTATATACATTCTACTGAATAGAAGTCTCATACAAATCACACAACCTCGAATCTTCTTGCAGGAGATAACCCACCTGCTAACCTCAAATCGACGTCTTCCTATGGCCCTACCATGGTCACAACCACTAAGTAATCAATTAATCTTCCCGAGTCTACACTCGCCAAATAGATATAAGACTCTGCTTCATTCCTCAAATGGACAGTTGGAAGATCACTAACATATCCATATGTTAAGATCGTACAACACATAAAGATGATGATCAACTATCCATAGCTACTTGCATCCCCTCCGTAACATCACAAGTCATTATTGTACATCTAATACCGAGTAGTCAATATCGATCATGAATCGAAAAGAAAAAAATTGAAGATTTAGGCTTCAAGCTGAAACAAAGTCGCACGATGTGGAAAGAAAGAAGGAAAGTTTCCTAGATGCCCTGTAGCCTCTGAAGATAGGCGTGGACATCATCATACCGATCTGCAAGACTTTACTAGACATTTGTTCATAATTAGTGGAACCTATGAACCTAGAGCTCTGATACAAACTTTGTCACGACCCAAAATTGAACCTAGCGGTGATGACACCTAACCCCAACATGCTAGGTAAGCCAAACAATGAATAATAACTCAAATGGAAGCTCATCAATAATAATAAATAAAAAGATGAATATTCATACAAATATCCCAAGGATTGGTAGTACAAGTCTTGAGCCACTAGCATTTAGATTTACAAAGATGGTTCAAAGAATAAATACACCCTCTATTTGAAATACACATAAACAGAAGTGAAAACCCTAAACTACCAAGAACAAGTGGTGACTTATATCTGGAATGCAGTTACATCCTCAATTATAGCCTTTGTCATCCACGGTAGCTCAAGTCCTAGATCTGCACGCAAGGTGCAGAAGTGTAGTATGAGTACAACAACCCCTTATACTCAGTAAGTATCCTGACTAATGTTGATAAAGTAGTAGTGAGGTTTTTAAGTCCAAATGGTACTCACTTTGAATAACCCATGAAGATCAATAACATATACAATACAAAGAGTTATCCAGAAAAGATAGTCACAGAATAATGAATATCAATAATATGGTGCACAACTGGGTAGGGGCAATAAAAAATATTTGCCGAATAAACAGGTCAAGTAAATACAACTTGCACCAACTCTGCACATAAAGAGACATGCACCAAGTAGTGTGTGTGATCAAATACTCATATGAATGTAAAATCTGTACATAACAATGATCCAATACCGTATCAATTTCCAAATACCATGTGTTCGAGTCTAACATATCAATGTGTGATGATAACTCCCTTCCTACAACAACCTGATACTCTCCAAGTGTCCAACAACTCATTAACAAGTCTCGTACAGGTATAAAATGTATCAGCTAGTATATGTAGATGACATGCATGGATAATACATGTAATAATATATGAAATGCATGACATGCATAAAGAATGCACTTGGAGGATCAAGGATGCTACCTTTATATTCCACTCATCATCAATCGAGAATGTCACACTTATACTCCACACATCATTAATCAAGAATTCCACCTTTATACTCCACGCATCATCAATCAACCAGAAACCCATCAGTTTCTCACAACCCGCATGTATGCCATCAAGAGAGAAACATGAGAGGATGACCCTAGGGGGATATATCCATATCCGCATGCGGCACAGACAACTCACGTTCCATAACCGTACGGACAACTCACATGCTACAAGGACAGCTCACGTGTCAATCATAAAAATAACTGCATGGACAACTCACGTGCCAATAATCATAACAGCCACAAAGACAACTCACGTACTACAAGGACAACTCACGTGCCATATTAAATATCCCATCACAATCACCGCACGGCAAAGACCTCATTCCAATCAATAATAATATCCCGATTTTCGCGCGGTAGAAACCTCGTGCCATAACCTCAGTACATATTTGAGAGCCATGCGCGGTGATGTATGCATATGAATATGAGGTAAGCATATAAAATGTACGTTGACCGAGAAATAACCATGCATGGATGTATGCATGTATACAAGGTATGATCCCTAGGTAGGATGTATGCTTATATGTACATATGGCCACAGACCCAACACATAATACGTCACCCAAATAATCATCACACCTAAATAAGCATCAAAAGCCATTTCATATAACGTGGTTAAGAAAACTCAAGTAGTCATACATCAATTTAAGGCATAACATAAGAATAATAAGTATGGATGTGTGTTCATAACATCTGGGACTACGTCTAAAACATGTATGGCAACAATCTCAAGATAGTTCATCATGCTCCAAATACAGTACCATTAACCTCAACATTAACTCTAGCATAGTTCATCGTACTCATGTAATCTAGTAATTTAGTAAAACATAGAATCTAGTAGAACGCATAACCAAACACCGCATAAGGTAAATCTAGAATCTACTCCGAGTATGAATACTCATGTCACATGCATACACACTCGTCACCTCACATATACATTACTCCCGCATGTGACAGACAATATAAGTTATTATGAAATATTCTATCAACCAATGTTAGGCAAGACACTTACCTCATTTGGGCTTGTTCAATGCTCCAAAATCGCATCTCCTTAAGAAATACCTCTAACCGGCTCGAACCTAGCCAACCATCAATCAAGGAAGTCAACCAATTCCATAAGAAGTAATCCTAATCAATAAAGCCTCGATTTTTTTAAGGATTCCCCAAAAGTCAACCTCGGGCTTGTGTGCCCGAAACCTGAAACCAATGCCAAAATCCGATGACCCATGACCTGCCGAGTCCAAATATATAATTAGATTCTAAAACCAAGTCCAAATCGGTACTCAAATCCTACAAATACACTCTCTTAAAGTGTAAGAAAAAACCCATATTTCATCTCAAAATTCCATGTTATGGGTGTTAACAATTTATGTAGATTCTTGAAGTAATACCAAAAGTGAGTAGAAATCACGTATCCCAAAGTCTTGTGTAAAAATTTCCATGAGAAATCGCCCCTCCCCATGTTTAGGGTTCAAAATATAAAAAATAAGCTCGAAATCCCGAAATAACATCTTAAATAAACTGCCCGGCAGCACCCTTGGCGAACGCGACCACTGCTCCACGCTCGCGAAAGCACAAACCAAGCTACTGACCAAAATACCATATGTGATCACGGCCTCGCCCTTGCCATTGCATAGTGACAAGTCCCTCTCCTTTGCGAATGCGATCTACACCTTCACGAATGCAAAGGCAAATATTCCCATGCCAGCTCTAACTCCTCACGAACACGACAGACACACGCGAACGCCATACACCTGGAACAATACTACGCGAATGTAACACTTCCTTGCGAACGTGAAGAGCAATAGACCCAATACCAGAAATACTCCTTGCGAACGCACTGCTAACTAATCATGATCGCGAAGAACACAGTCACCTGCTAAATACTAGCAACTCAAACATCACCAAAATGCTCCAAAACCACCCCGAACTACACTCGTGACCCCCGGGTCCCCGTCCAATCATACCGATAAGTCCAAATACATTATTCAAACTTATCCAAAGGCTCGAAACATTATAAATAACATCAAAACCAAGAACCGAATATCAAAATTATTCTCTTAACTTTCAAACCTTCAAAGTTCGCCGAACCCATCTGAATCACACTTAAATATTTCGGATCACAATGAAATTTTGCACACAAATCCCAATCAACTAAACAAACTTATACAAGATCTCAAAAATGCAATAGGAGTCAGATAACACCGAAGTCAACTTCTGATCAAAACTATGAACTCACAAATTCTATAAATTGCCAACTTTCGACAAATAAAGCCAAAACCCTCTAGGAACATCCAAATTTAAATCCGAACACATGCCCAAGTCTAAAGTCACCATACGAACCTATTATAATCATCAAATCCAATTCAAATGTCTTTTACTTAAAAGTCAAATCTTGATCAACTCTTTCAACTTAAGGCTTCCATATTGAAAAAATTTCTATTAAATCCATCCCCAACCACCCAAAAATCAAAACCAGCCATGCACGCAAGTTCTAATACACTATATGAAGCCACTCGAAGTCTCAAATCGCATTACGAAATGCTAGAACTTAAAATGACTGATCGGGTTGTTGCAATCCTTGACCTAATCTTCAGCAAGAGAGATCTGCCATGATTGTCTCATATTTAGGAGGCTGCCATGTCACTGTCCACAAAATAAGGAAATAACATGGGCGAAAGAGAATCCTCCTAAACCTGCTGAGAATTAGCGCCAATATTTGTGCAAGAGACATTACATTTTAATATGCAACAACCACTTTTATTGTTACAAGTTATTAATCACCAAAACCTCAATTTCTAACAAGAACAAAGCTTAATGGACAATGAATGATAAAAACACAGAAGCTCAAACATTTCTCGTCTTAATAATACTCCATAACTCACAAGTTGATCAGTCATATATCAACTTATCACAAATACATGCTCAATTTTTCGAATATGAGTTTTTTTCTGGTATTGAAGGAAGAAACAGCAACTACATTGAACGACCAGGGCATGATATAGAGTTTGCAATGTCAATCACAAACCGGTATTTAACGTCAGATTTTGCAAGTCGTTCCATGGCCGTATTGATTTGCTCCACTCGGATCAGCTCGATATCTGCTGTAATGTTGTGCTTTGCACAAAAGTCTAACATTTCCTGCGTCTCTTTCATGCCTCCAATGTCACTTCCCCCAACTAGCTTCCTACCTATTAATAATCAAATTTGTAAATATGGTCCTGCAGTTAAAATGGTTAAAAATAAAAGCAACATTTTGATGTTCTAAAGCATGCTCTCTTACCCAAAACTAAAGGGAAAATCGGAAGCTCCAGTGGCTTTTCAGGTAACCCAACAGTGACAAGTTTACCATCCACCTTTAGCAAACTGAGCAACGGAGCCAATGGATGAACCGCACCAATGGTGTCAATAATGTAATCCATAGTATTTACAAAAGCCTGCATAGACAACCGCTATATCATAATTTTTATAAAGGATCATGGCAGCGGCTACATCACTTTCCTTGAACCAGTCAAAAAAATTATCCGCACTCAAATGCATGTGATTTGTTGAAAAGAACAAGGATTTAGGCGACAAAAGAAAAGTTCAACTTAAACAACACCAGGGATCTTGTAGTTGGAATTAAGATTTGTAGTTGTAACTACCATGTCACATCTGTTTTATTATGAGAATCGAACTTACAACACAAACAGAAACCAGTAACAGGCAAACTAGCTTTAACGTTTGAAATTTCCTCCATATACAATCCTTACTACTTACCGAACTCCCAACAAGATTGTAATTGAGCGACATGGATATTGAAGAGTCCATTCATAGTTATTTGTAAAACAACCCTTACCATGAGGGCTGCAGTCTAAATAATGCATCTTTCCTATTTGAGTCATCAAGAACTGTATTTCCAAGTTCTTGTTGCAATTAAAATGTGGTGTTAAGAATTTAAAGGAAACCTGTAATGCCTTAAATGGTGTCAATTAACATGCACAATGCTTAACTTCTTTCTTAATCTTCTTAAGAACATCACCTGTTTTGGATTTTAAACTTCTCTTTTTTATATATTACTTTGCACTTACCTTCATTTTTGTAGGATCACTACTTAAAACGAAAGCATCCGCACCAAGCTTCTTGATGGCCTCATCTTCCTTCTTAGGAGAAGTGCTGATGACAGTAACTTTTAACCCAAAGGCCTTTCCAATCTTCACAGCAACATGACCAAGCCCCCCTAATCCAGCAACACCCAAATGCTTGCCTGGCTCGGTCATACCATAGTATTTCATTGGGCTGTATACAGTGATTCCAGCACATAATAAAGGTGCTCCAGCATCAGAAGGTAGGTTTTCAGGAAATTGAAGAACAAAGCGCTGATGAACAACTATCATATCGGAGTAACCACCATATGTCCTTGTACCGTCATGGTATGTGGAGTTGTAGGTGAACATAACTTTGGGACAATAGTTTTCCAAGCTCTGTTCACAGATATCACACGTGTGACAGGAGCCTACAATCACTCCAACTCCAACTCGGTCACCAACCTTGAATCTATGGACACTAGTGCCAACTGCAGTCACTAGACCAACAATTTCATGCCTGCACAGAAGTAAGCTCTTTAACTTGAAACATAAGCAAACTTTTGACATTAAACTATCAAATTCATGAAAAAATCCAAGACATGTTGACCACCCTACTATGAAGCTTGAAGTTTCATCAAAGTGTTTCGTAGAACTAGTAAACCACTGGATGAAAGACCATGGTAGCTGGCGTGCATTACCTACCAAAGCTTGTGAGGGCGCTTGCTTGCCACCTTCAGCTTTCTTGTACTGATAGTGTAAAAATTCTTTAATACAAATGTTTATCTCTTTGCAGGACTTCAAAGATGTGGGAAGAGTTGCAGGCTCAGGTGGAATAGTTACCTAAGGCCTGATATCAAGAGAGGGATATTCACTTTACAAGAAGAACAAACCATCATTCAAATCCATGCTCTCTTAGGGAATAGTTAACTGACTCTCAGAAGTAATACTCTATTTAGATAAAGTCCAGCTTTAATAATTTTCCATGAGACGAGAGAACCTATATATAACTAAGATTCCTTTCAGTCCTTTATCTCTCCTTTCTCAACTAAACTTCTGTGTTTAAAATTCCAGTAGGATAAATCAACTGAACAATCCTTGCACCGCGGGAAGATGTAATTCATGAGACTAGAAATAATGAATCTGGTATTTCCTTTGAACTTTCTAGACTTGTTGGCAACTCGGTCAATCCATTGATAGCTTCCTTAAGCGATGTGCTCAGGTTTTTCACTTATCTTTTGGTCCAATTAAAATGCATTCAAGAGAATGGTAAATGATTTGATCAGACGATGCTTAATAATTTCTAGTATTGATTAGTAATGTACCAAAAAATTCTATTGATTAGTACAAGTAAACAATTGAACTATTGCATAAGACGTGCTTTCATGGCTCGTTATCTGCCTTATCTAATGAAGCAGGAAATATTTCCAAAAACTTCAATCAGTTTTTCTCAACTCAAATTATGAGAACTGCTACTGATGAAGTCTCTAGCAGTTAGAACAGATTAGTGTAGACTTTTTTGGAAACTGTACTTCACTTTATTTCTCCAGTTATACCATTTAATCAACTCTGTCCAAGAAAAGAGAAATGCCCACCTTAAGAGTTAGCTTTCAGAATTAAGTTAGATAAAGGTTTCATTTCTCTTAACTTGTTATCTCATGTCATCCACGCTCCAAATATTCAGTCTTAAGCGAGGAGGGTTGTTAGAGTTACACATAAGATAAGAATATGAGTCTTATTAGACAATCCTCAACCCATGAGCTAACGTTTTGGAATTGAGTTGAGTCGAAGGTCCATTTTTCTTAACACTAAGTGTTTTATCTTCTTCTCGATATCCTTCTCCCCCCACCTCTGCTGTATTATAAAAACCTAAACTTCTTAAGTATAGTCTAATTATAAGTTTATATGTACTCAACATTTGCATCCAAGTATCTAAACGCTAATTGTGAAGATGGGCAAATAGTCTTGTCACATCAAAGTATCAAGTGTTAGGGAAGAAGGAGACTGAGTAGCTTACCCAGGGACGATAGGGTATTTTGTGAATCCCCACTCATTCTTCAAACAATGCAAGTCGGAGTGACATACGCCACAGTAAAGTATCCTGACAGTAACATCATCATCACCATTTTGTCTGCCATCAATTCAAAAAGGATAAGTTCGCAATGTCAGCTAGATAAGCATTAAACTTCCCACATTATGGAAGCTAAATTTACATTTCAACTATACAAACAAGAAGCAGGACCACCAATAGAGAGGAATGAGAAAAGGAGAAGTGGCTGATACTACTATATATGATGTGTATCTTGTCTCTATATCCGCAAGTATATTTCGGAAACAAAAAAGGTATTCTAGGCACTTATAAACAAAAAATGGCTTCGGAATTATTAGAGAAAAAAAAATCTTAATGTTGGAACCTTTCAATAAGCCTCTTCCAATCGTCAGGTGGTGGAATCGAAAATTTTGGTATTTCTTCCATCAATGGTCCATATATACATGTATATCAACAGATTATAATGTCAAGGGTCATTATAAGTTCAAGGAGGAATTATTTAGCCTGCTAAAGATACAGCATAAGACGCACAAGATGTAGGTTTAGACTCATTATTCAAATTCAAAGAACTATTAAAATGAACTATTTATATGTTGTGTTAAAGGGTATGATATCATGCAGCAAAACCCAAAGTACACCGTTTCTACTTTTGCTGCTTAGTAATTACAAAACGATATCAGGAACAAAGGAAACCTGAAGAAAGGATAGAGACTCCTATCAACCAATTAAAAGCCACATGAATAATCAACCGCGCCGTCAAGGAAATATTACACGGAAATGTACGGCGATTCTTCGGAAATGTTTACAAAAACTATGTTTTGATAACCGAGAAATCTATAAAGGACAAACGATTGGAACTCCGCACCAACAGAGTAACTTGAGATGTGCCCATAATTAAGACATTACCATGCTCTCACCACTAAATCAAAGTCAAGTCATGCATGCTTATGTACCGAAATATATATACGTCGTATAGGTATGTGAAGAGCAAAATTAATGGCAATCATCAAAGAATGGATATAGCATGAAAAGTTACAGTTAAGCATTTTTAAGTCCTTCCATTTCAGAGACATACATTAATATTAATACACCCAACAATTTACCAGACGTTAAATAAACATCAAACAAAAAGTAGCGCTACCTACCTCCGAGAGAAATCGAACGGCGACAGAATTCCGGAGGTGTCCCTAGCAGCCCACCCAAAAGCTTTTTGTGGGTGTTCGTTCTCTGGTGCTTTAACCATTTATTCTCAGAGCGTGTTGAATAATATTACTCAGTGCCAAAACTGGAACAGACTGGAAAAAGTATATGGATTAATGCTCCAGTGGGGACTTATTGCACGCTGCTATTCCTGAGGTCCACTTAAAACTTTCTTTCAAAGTCAATTTTGAGAAATGGAATTAGATTCTGTGAATCCCGCTCAAGTATTCTCCACCACAATTTTTCTATATTGTCTCGTAGTACTGTATCTATTTGCATGAATGACACTGTTCGATTCAAATTTTAAGGGTCTAAGATTTGAAAATTATAATTAGTGTTCTGACCTTAGTTGCGAGAAAGATTTTAGGAAAGTAATCTCCAACTTTGGTAAGAAAATGATTGCCATTAAAAAATAAAAATAAAAATAAAAAAATCTATATCTATCTATATATATACAGTCTATAGCTGTCCAACGGGACGGGACAGGACGGGACGACATTTAAGCGGGACGGTGGCGGGACAGGACAAACGGGACGAAACGTTCGTCTCATCCCGTCCCGCTAACAAACGGGATGGGACAGGATGGGACGGGACGGGTTCGTGGACCTTAAGTGTATTTTTTTAAAAAAAAAAACGTCTAGTTTTTTGAAAATTACTTTGTTTTTAAAGTTTGCAACGGCTAGCTTTTTGATTAATTATTTAATAAACTTAAATGTTACTATGTTAAAATGAAAATTAGAAAACTAAGTAAAGAATTATAAAATATTAAAACAAAAGACTTGTAATGAAATATTCTAGTAATTATAAATTTATAATAGAGTTATAATTTATTTAATATAATTTCAAAGTATTAACTATTAAGTAACTAAAACAATTCATAAATAAAATTCAATGCTTAGAGCCTTTTATTTTATTAATAGAACTTTCAAATCTCAAATACAAATATAATTCTTTTGAAGAGCACTTAATCTACGCAGCCACCTTCTAGGAAGGGTT